CTCTCTCTCTCTCTCTCTCTCTCTCTCTCTCTCTCTCTCTCTCTCTCTCTCTCTCTCTCTCTCTCTATATATATATATATATATATATATATATGTATACGTATACACACACACACACACACACACACACACACACAGTTCCATCCATCTTTCTAAACATTTTTTTTTAATCTAATCTTTATCACCTCCTATCGGCTGGAAATGACATCATCGGACTCGATTTCCAGTGACATGATCGCAACATCCCTATTTATTTATTGTTTTTTAAAGAATCTCTCTTGTAGTGTTCTGAACTCCTGTTTCCAGGACAATATGTTAAGCAAAAATAATGATGAGTGCATAGTGTGGATGCAGCGCAACTTCCCAGTTTGAGACTGAATTAACAGCACAAACTATTTGAGACTGAATTAACAGCACATGTTTGGTTGCAGCCATGTTGTGGAACAACAAAGAAAATTATTGAAGATAAATGAATCGATGTATATGTCTATCCCTCCTAATACTGTGTGAACTCTCCACGTCCATGATTGCGTACGTGTGCAAAGCATTACATTGTGAAGGTGCATGTTATAAGTTATACGACGCAACAGACGGCGGGGTTGTCGCTGCAAACTGTTCAACATTGGAGGACGTCTGAATTACTGAGTGCTTTGCTTTCTTGCAGACACAAAAGGCCCACCTTTTGAGCACTTAGTTCCATTGCACATTGTCCAATTAGCAGGCTGACCACAGCATGCACTAATAACACAAGCTGGGGTTGACAGACAGTGCAGAAGGGGGGAGACATGCCAGCTGCACTTAGTCATGCCCACCTCCACACAGCTGATCTTGAAGGACTATCCTCTTGTCATCTCGCCCCATCTCTGTTTTGTTCCTTCCACTAAAGCTCAAACAAGTGATAGTGACTGATCAACAGATGGAGCGCATTTTTTTTTCCTTTTCTTTATCAGCAAACACAGCAGCTTGTAGTTCGGAGGCAGCGCGGTGAAATAGTGGTTAGCACATCACAGTTCTGAGCTTCGGTCTTTGAATCTCATCTGCAGATTTAATGTGTGGACTTTGCATGCTGTCGCCATGTTTGTGTTGTGTTGATTTTCTGTGATTACTTCAAAAAATACAACACACAAAAACCTAAGAAAAAGTAACAACAGACTTGCCCTGAACAGCCGACATTCTCCAAGTACTCTTGGACTACAGTATATTTCCAGACAAACTCCTAATTAAACCCCTTTTGGCACAATTCGCTTTGGAGGTCACATCGTAAAATGTAGGACCATTAAATGGCAAATTTTTAATGAGCAATTTATTATTAATCATACTCATAAATGAATTATTTTTATGATGGTAATTGCTCAAATAAATTAATGAGGCAACGTGGCAGCTGTGAAAAAGTCAGAAGAATTTGCGAGTGTCTATTTAAAGATTGACTAGTGGGTGTAATGCACACAAAATGAAACCTGTAGCCGAAATGAAGATAAGTGACAACAAATCAGTGCGCACACAGCGTTGTCGACCAACACATCTCTGCCGGCTATCACACGAGCGTCTCGGCCCCTCCAGTTTCTCTCTCCAATGACAGCCTCGCCGGAAATTCAGGAGTGACTGGGCGGCACTGGCCTCCCACAGCAGCGGTGGCGGGAGAAAGGAGCAACTTATAATCACTTGGCTCAACATAAGGAGGACGTTAGGAAATTAAGGCAAAGCTGGCACAAGGGGGCTGGTACAAGGCAGCCTAGAAGATGGTTGACCTTTAATAATCGTGACGATGACGGCCATTGAGGCAACGTGGATGAAATGTGCCCATATGGTTTTGGAGTTTGTTGTTCATCACAATGGAATGAAGCATTCATCTGGGCCATGTTTAAACAGTTCTCATTAGATGTGACCGGCATGTGACAGTCAGCAGATCATGTATTTGTAATTGCAATTACTGTTAGATAATAAAAACAAAAACAGTCTTATTCTTGAAAGGGATGAGAAACACTGCTGTGCAACATTCTTTCACTGCAATGTACAATATTTAAAATTTAATCGTGTATAATTCAATATCATAAAAATGCAATGAGAATGTGGCACATAAATTTTTGGGTTTTTTTTTGTGTGTCTAAAAGGAGAGTTGTCAAAATGATACATCCTCATTAACTGCTGATGGTGTAGATATTAATGAAATTAATGCTGTAAATTATTAATAATAATTATTAGTGCCAAATATGCGACCACAAGGTCGCATATTTGGCACAATCTGAACTACAGACAATGGTCAAATGGTAAATTTTACTGGAGTGGCAATAATACATTTGGATGAACTAATCCTTGCTATATTACATTTTGGGCATTGTGTTCATCTCATCTAAATGTGTATGTAAAGCCAAAGATCATGGAAAGCAGTATTCTCAAGTTTGCAGAAGGTGGCGATAAATTGGAGGCACAGGGGTCTGCCCACTGATGTAAGATAATTAGCCCCACACGCCAAGCCAGCTTCATTAGCGAGCAGGACATCAGGCAGCCTTGTTAATGAAGAGCTGATGCTGAGCAAGGGCCTTCTCATCAAAAGCGGATTAAAAAAAAAAAAGTTGCTAAGAAATAATGTAAACATTTTTTGTTTGAAGTAGCTTTCTTTTGGAGTTCATTAGCGCAATCGAAGCCATCAGAAGGACACTTGTGATTGAAAATATAAGTACTAATGATTTGGTCTTTCAGTGCATCTAGCCATCATCAATTTTAGATCGAGAACTCAGCCCTTTAAGGGTTGAATAAATAAAACGGTATACTGATTTTTTGGAGTGGACACTTCAGTCTGAATATGTGAAGGTTTCCAGGAATATCAGCGGTGATGCATCCGTCTCTCTTTTTAGAAACTGTTACACCGTGTCAAACGGGTTGAAAACTCATTAAAAACATTTTGCATAAGACTGTAAAATAACTTGAACATGAATGCTACTAAAGGCTTTTTTTTTCAATTAGGGTAGTAAATCTCTTATCCACTGCAAAAAGTAGCTCGTTTAATGAAGTGCAATGCACTGTGAGTCATAGAATGAACTGGATGATCATCAAAGAGGAGAAGTAGCCAATACAACCTGCCTGCATCCCACAGAGTCAAAAGAGTCCCACCTAGTGTGACATTTTGCAGCCTGTTTGTGAGTAACATGAAACACACTCATTGTCACTACACGTCTCTCATTATTGCCTGATATCTTTTGATACGATCCTCAGATTCCCATCTGATTCTCCCTTTTCCCCTTTAACGATTTTTTCCCTCTTTTTAACCATGATCTCTCACGAGGTGACATTTGTCGGGGAGCTGATTGGAGGTTCTTCCTTGCACCAAGCTTTTAACATGATTGTCAATGCAACATGGCTCCCCTTGGATTATCAAGTGCAATTTACTTGAAACCATTCTTGTGTTACCAAACTCAGTCATAAACTTGCATTTGGTCCGGTGATGGTGTGCAACGACGTTAGTATAACTCTGAACAATAACATTAGCAGACATTGGAATTCTACTGCTAATGCATCATGAGAGGTGACCTGGCTGCAGGTTAGCACATCTGCCTGAAGGTTGAGAGGTTTGAGGTACGAATCTCTGTGTGGTGTTTGCATGCTGGGGTTTCCTCCGATATCCCGTATGTTAATTTAACACTCTCAATTATCCATCAGTGTAATTGAGACTGTGAATAGTTGTCTGTTGTGTATGTGCCGCTGTGATTGGCATGCAACTAGTCCAGGATGAACCCCCTTTCTTGGAAAAGTCAACTGGGATAGGATTTAACCACAACCCGAATGAGGACAAATATTCATAAAATAAATGGAAAAGTTCAGATTGTAGTTTTGATGCCCATGGGTTTGAAATATGGTTGAGTGATTAACTCCAGCTAAGGTTGCTATCTACGCTAATCAGATTGGTCAACAACTCAGTAAAACGCTAACCGTTTAGTCAAACCAAGTAACTGTAATGCACTCTTTAAGGTACTTTTGTCGATAGTCGTCCAGATTTTCTACATACAGTAAATCAGTAAGTAATTTTCCAATTCTCAAAATATATTTCAGAGATCATTAAATAATAGGGCCATTTCTGCTACCAATTGAAACAGTTATTGTCGACGGTAATTCATGCGGCACTTGATAACATTGCGACAATAATTGAAAGTGTCACTTTGCCACATGCCTCTGTCAATATTATTACACTGCAGAGCTTCACATTTCAATTACACTTCACGTTACATTAATCACATTTATCTCAAGTCTCCTTTCACTCACAGACGCATTTAAAGAAAAAAAAAAAACCA